CGCCTCTCCTCCCCGCCCTCGCTTCTGCCTTTTCTTTCTTCTTCTTCCTTTCTTCCTTTTTTTTTTTTTTTTTTTTTTTTTGAGTCAGGGTCTCTCTATGGCTTACCTCCTGGGCTCAGGTGATCCCTACTGCCTCAGTTGGAACTATAGGCATGTGCCACCACACGCGGCTAGATCAGTCTTACCTCAGCTATATGCACTGTCAGAATTGATAGCCCTCCTCTTATTTAGCAGCACTTTGCCCCATTTCTTGCTCCATCAAGCAGCCTGCCCTTCCCTCCAAGCTCAGCCTTGTCTCTCATCCCTACCCTATCCTCACATCACCAATATGGCTTGACTATTTGTGCTAACACGCACTAGGGATTAATAAAATTGTAATAATCAGTTTACAGGAGAGTAAAAACAAGTCTTCTTTGTCTACTGGGTCTTAGTATGCCCATAGATAAGCATTCATCTTTGTACAAAGGGGCATAGACGTCAATTTCTCCCTTATCAACTACCAAATTCTTATCATTCCTGACATCAAGGGCAGGGATCATCTCTCTAGGACAGCACGAATCATAAATTCCTGCTCCAAAAAGGGTTCTCTCAGTAAAGATTTTCTTTTCAACTTGCTTTTAGATACGATGCTTTTATGGAACATTCCAATGAAAGGATCAAAGACATCAGCTACCAATGAAAGGATCAAAGACATCAGCTACCCAAGATGGTGACAGCATTGTGATGAGGAAAATGAGAGGAGTTTCATTTGGAAAACTAGTTTTTAAAGACATGAACAGTAAAAAGAGAGGGGTAAGATTTAGGCAGGAAATATTAATAGTACCCAGAGAGAAATGATATCTACTTCGTATTGCTATCTAAGGCTGACCTTGAAGCAAACATTTCCACAGGTAAATTCTTTGGCAAGGAACTATTTAAATGATGTTCACAGATATTAAATGAGTAGATTATATAAGTTTTAGAGATTCAGAGTCCTTTAGATTTTAGAGTTTTTAAAATATCTATAACTCATTTAATATTTATAAATTACTGGGAGATTAGCAAGCCTGCAGAATTATTTCCATTTTTGCCTTTAGACTTGCAATTACTTAATGTACTCACTACACTGACATAAAACAATGAACAACCTTGTTAGAAATTCTTTAATGATTTCTCCGTAATAGATTTCTGAACTCCTTGGCCCATTGGTTATACCCCATTTCTTGCCATCTTTCCCACCAACGCCTTTGGCTGGGTCATGCTGAGCTCCCTTCAGATCAGGAAATATATTCTTTTGTACTTCCACATCTTTTTTAGATACTGTGTCCTCTGCTTAGAATGTCCTCTCCCTTACTTCTGCATCCCTTCATTTGACAGAAGCATCAGTGACTCTGCAAACTTACTCTTATGATCCTCAACTTCCCCCAGCCCCAGGATTTAATATCCTCTATTCCATAACTGTTCTCCATCATACATAGTATCAAATATTCCAGTGAACTCTAATTCCTCATTTACCAGTCTGTGTCCTCTCTAGATTACAGAGTGTTCGAATTCAGTGACCTTGTCCCTTTATCACTATTGCTGCTATAATTCATTTTATAGAGCCTGACATATAGTGACCACTCAATGAATATTTGTTGAATGAATGAAAGAGTAGCTAAGACAGTTTTTGAACCGTACGCTTTTCTATTCCAGCTCAGTGTTCTTTCTGCTATATCAAATACCTCTGCCAGATAAATACATGTTACAACTGTTTACACAATTACTAATAAGAACTATTACTAGAACAAAGAAGCTGGTGATAATATCTTATGTCGTATAGGTAAATTGCATATTAAAGATTTTGTTTTGACTTGTTTATATGATTCAATCATGTTCTCTCACCAGCTTAAAAATAAGTACCATTCATTTAGGTGGGAACACATGTTATTCATTTATCCATTCAAAAGAAAACATATGAAGACACATCTCTTTATATACCTCTTTTGTCAGTTTATACACTAATTGGTAAAGAAGGGGTGTACAGTCAACTCTGAGAGTATAATTGCCTGAAAAATAAATAAGACACAGAACATTATTTCATACTTCTAAGTGAAATTCCGTTTATGATTAATTCTAACTTTATTTTCTAATTTTAAACAAGATATAATGATCTTCAAATCAAAGATTTTATTCCCAAAGAATAAAACAGGGTGGAACTAGTTCTTCAGGAGCAAGAGAGGCTGCCCCATATATTTTGAATAGAAGAAGGTCTTGGTGGACTTTGGTTGCTAGGGCAGCAGCTCTCACAGTGATTATAAGGGTCATCCTTATGGCAGCATTTCTTAGGGGCACTTTGGCAAAGGAAGTGGTAAGTCTGTAGCATTAATTTCTTACTTGTTTCATTCTATGGAATAGTATATATCAAGATATTAGACAAAGCCATGTCAGTAATTATTATGCTCTGACATTTATTTAGAAATAATCACAATACAGTGAAAGCCTAGAGACACAAATCTCTTCATTTTCTGAATCATACTGTCTCCATAGTAGTGCTAATCAGAAATCATGTCCCCTTGGCCTAGACAATCCAGATCAGTTTTTTTTTTCTTTCTTTCTTTTTTTCTTTCTTTCTTTGAGAGTCAGGGTCTCTCTTACACTCCTGGGCTTGGGATCCTGAGCCAGATTGAAAGGGAGTTTGTAGTTCAAAAGGAGTGAGTACACTTACTTCAAATTTGTTACAACGAATACAGGAAATATTTCTAGACAGAATATTCTGTAAAATCTTTCTGAATTGTTTTAGCCAAATTCTATTAATATCTTCATTGTGAAAACATGTGGTTAATACTAGAGTTTTAAGCAGTAATTTAATATAAACAAATAGTAAATATATCAAAGAAATTAAAAGCAATAGCTTAGTTATGAATGATATCAATTCATATGAATCCTAATTATTTTCTTTGTGGTAAAATGAAAAATAAAGGTATTACTGAGGCATCTCATAGGAAGGGGATATCTGAGGTGCTTAATAAGTTAGAATTTATAGGCTTTAAATGGATGTAAATACTCAACAATAAGTAAAAGTTACTTGAAATAAAATTTCCTTTCTGAAAATTTTACTTCAAATTGAAATAAAATTTACCTTCTATAGATGAATCTGAGTTGATATAAGCAATGCTTCTCTCCTGGAGTATTTTGACATTCTCCTACAGTTGAAGCAAAGTTGTTACTTAATTCACATTACTTACAGTTGTGAAAATGTCAACAAAATAAGCAAATTAATTTTGTGAAATAGGCGGTTTACAAGTATCTTTCAGAATTAAATAGCTATATTCGTCGTGACCATAATTTCTGAGAAATGCAGAAAACCAGTTGGTTAAACAACAATTATGCAATTAATATAAGAATTAAGATACTCTGAAGCAATAGCTACTGTTTACAGAAATAGCAGAGAGCCCTAAGGAAAAAGAAATATTTTCAAAGTGTGGTTCCTTGATTCCCTGCATCAGAATATGCAGGGATGTGGCTCCCCATATTCTAGGGCCCTGCCCTGATCTACTGAATAAGAACTACAGTGAGGCTAAAAGTGGGGCTCGGAAATCTGTATTTTATTATTTTATTTTATTTTTTGTTAGACAAAGTCTCACTCTGTTGCCCAGGCTGGAGTGGAAAAAAAAAAACAAAAAAAAAAAAAAAAAAAAAAAAAAAAAGAAAAAAAAAAAATAAAAAAAAAAAAAAAAAAAAAAAAAAAAAAAAAAAAAAAAAAAAAGTGCACGATCTCAGCTCACTGGCAACCACTCCTCCCAGGTTCAAACAATTCTTCTGCCTCAGCCCTCCAAGTACCCGGGATTACAGCATGGCCACATGCCTGGCTAATTTTTGTAATTTTAGTAGAGACGAGATTTTCACCATGTTGGCCACGGCTGGTCTTGAACTCTGACCTCAGGTGATCCGCTCACCTCAGCCTCCCAAAGTGCTGAGATTACAGGCATGAGCCCCACGCTGCGGGCTGGAATCAGTATTTTCTAATGAATTATAACTGGCAATTGATTTTGCCATACATTGAAGTCTGAGATCCATTTATAGAGGGAATACCCAAGTAAATTTATTCCATTCCAAAAGTAAGAAATAGAAAATTTCCATTTGTTTTAAATTTACTATGTATATGGAGAAGTGAACAAAAAACCAAAGACAAAAAATTAGAAAGAGAGGAGGCACACATTAGGACAAGAAACAAGGACTCCTTTCGCTCTCTCACTCCTCTCACACACAGCACAC